GCAGAATTTACTGTGATAGTTGCAAATACTTCGTAACTCATGTTAAAGTATGTTATTGTCAGACTGAACAAATTTCTATTCCTGGCATTAAGGTTGTTAATATGAAACAAATAACTGCTAGTTTCTCTTCTCCTCCTCTTTTATCTTTTTCCACCATCGCATTTGATATTCCATTTTTGGATCAATATTGTCTTTTATTGTTGCAGTTTTACACTATTCTGACTTTCAGTCACTTCCTAAGTGTAAAGCCAGCCGTAAAAGACGTGGGTGGTCAATACGCTTGTTAGCGCGTCGGATTCGCTTGCAGCGACGCACGCGCATCTAGCTTCCCGATACGGGCGACGGGTATGAAAACAAGGTTGATTGAATGAATGTGGTTGCACAGTTGACTGTTGCTATGACGTCAGATGTTTTCGCGAGTCAATCATGGAAAGTATAGCCTGACCAGGAACATAAAAACCCTCGCCATGTTGCGGAAAACTAATGGTACTAATTTCTTTTAATGGCAACAGTAACTGAAAACTTCATTGAAATGTCACCTTGCATGTCAGTCTATTGCTGTCAAAGTGTAAACAAACTTTATTTTAAATGTGCGCAATTGATTTTGTGAATTAAATTGTTAAAATATTTTTATAGTCGTGAAAAAAAAGTGGTTCACAATGTGTTAAAGTATTTGTCGAAGAGAAATACTAAGAGTTCGGACAATATTTTCATTGAATTATGTTTCCGACAAAGGTTGTCAAATTGACTGACATGTTTATCGTATAGTACAGTCCACTATGAAAATTAGCTGTGGTTTGTTTCAACTACCTATTTTAAAAAATTTTGTCACTTTCTAAGTGTTGAATTTTATGGAATTGGGAAAGAAGTACCGAGTTTGAAGCGTTCATGAGCAGACATTGCAGTTGAATATTCAAGTTCTGAATTTGATTATTGATGAATAATAAAATAAATCCTACTAGCTCGATTGATGGTTTCATTTAATTTATTTAAACCAGGTTATCTATAATAATATTTTTAGGTCAATTTATGAAAATATCAAATTAGCCCGTAATCCTGAATCCTGATACATAAAGTGAGCCTATTAATTTAACACAAGTACGACTGTACTCAGTGTTGCACTATCAAATGCAATTGACGCGCCTCTATGCCAGGGTTTTTATGTTCCTGGTCAGGCTATACATTGAATAAATTTCTAAAAGTTTACTGATGAACCATGATGATGAAAGTGTAATCATTTTAAGCAGACGCATGCGCATTCAAAAGGCGTGGTTCGTTTCTATCGAATCATCGCTGAAGTCTCGTGAACTTATAAACGTCAATCGCCAGGAGTGACAAAGATTATTTTGGTGTTTTCTAATTTAATTAGGACATGGTTGCTTTGTATACGCGTCACAGTCTGCTTCGAAGGGCACATTAAATCGACCTTTACGTGCTATATCAGATACTTAGTGGTTCATAAAGGATGAGTGTCATTAATATTTCAGAATAATATTTCCTTCGTGAATCTTTTTCTATTCAATCCTTTATTTCTGAAGTTATTTTTATCACAATGTAACCTTCTATAAAAAGGTCCTAATATGAAATCAATCATAAGGTCACGCTCACACTCGGCCCTAGGCCGAATGACCTCTGGTTAAGGCGATTAGAGTCCTCAATGACCTTGGGCNCTAGAAAATTAATAGCGCTATTAATTTAAAGTCACCGCAAGGATCTCAACCCGACCCAATTATTGTCTGACACACAAATAGGTCGATCCTAGCTCGCTAGAATACAGGTTGTCCCGAAAAGCAGTGTCAAGCCGAAGCCCAGAGGTCATTATGGCTACCCGAATCACCGCGACATTTAATAGTTTTCGAGTTATGTTCTTTTTATAACATACAGGATTTCAGCTAGGCCCAGTATAATAATAATAATAAAATCAAATCAGACATGTACCTTATCTATTCGCGCTACAGTGACCAAAAAGTTTTAAAACATTTTCAACTTACGAAATCACGGAACATAACATGGGAGTGATTTTTGGATAGCCCTAATGATGCTCTACCTCTGTGCTTCAGTTTGACACTACTTTTTGGGACAACCTGTATACTCGGGCGACTGAATACGCTTGCACAAACCAAGCACATGTATGCTGTTTAAACAAAGGACGTGTTTGGTAAACAAATAGGTACACAATGTGGACGCTTGTTATTCGCAAAATAATTGCGCTCTTTTTTTTCTCGACATAACACTGCTTTTTACCCGACTGCGCCAGAAGAAAGGTTGTGTTGACGAATATTGTGTAACTTCATTAAGAACTGTATTAGTTTGTTCAGTTTTTTCTTGTCATTTCCATAGATTTACGTACATTCGCGTCTTCTAAATATTTAATGAAAGTATTCAAGGTCAAAACTCAGACAAATGTGGTTTTCAAAGATACAAAATGTATTAGCAATTAATCACAACATCGCAAAATCCAATTAATCGATTAAGCACATCACTCGAAGTGTCGATGTTCTCGAATCCTGCAGTCCAGTCGGGCATCATCCGTCTGGCACGGGTCGCGGGTCGACGACCCCGCTCGAGCCCGCCGTACAATCGGAGTCTGGGATTTTCCAGAGCGCTCTGGAATTTTCTTGACATACCCACCGCGCTGGCCCATATTAGGGTTTGGAGTTTTGAAGTCTTTTTATTGGGTTATCAAATGCAATCTTAACTTAGTGTTTCAACATCTTTAATGTTTCAACATCTAAAGGTTTATTATTGAAACAAGAGTTACGATTATTGAAACTGAAAAGAAATGCTTCATTTATCTTAACTCTATGAGTTGTAGTAATTTTGTAACGGAATCTACTCTCATTAATTTTAATGAATGAAATAATGTAGCAGCTACTTAATTAATTAATTATGATGCGTTTTTAAACTTTTAATTGAAATCTCGATGTTTTTTTCATGAAAAAAGGGACAGGTGACATCTCTAAATAAAATCGAAGCTCTGCGTTACACAATACGATTTGTTTGATTGCTGTGATTCGATCGGGCGATAACGAGCGGCGCGGTGTTGTTTGCGAATTAGATTCGCGTATTGATTGACAACCCTTTGTGTGGTAAATACAAACCAACCTTTTACTACTATTAGTTTAAAAAATTAGGACGCTAAATATGTAAAGCTTTGCACTAAAACCAGAGTAGTTTTCGTCCTTCAAGCATAAGAGTCATTACTTGCAAAAAATCTAAATCAGACTTTCACCCTGTCATCATCTTCAACATCATTTCAGCCACGGACGACCACTGCTGAACATAGGCATCCTCCAATTACTTCCACATGACCCAGTTTCAACCTTTAGTGGCTCATAAAATCTGACACTAGAGAAATTAATTATAAAAACTAAATCACCAATTTAAATAGTTTAAAAACCATTCGTTTCAGTTCATTATTCCAGATTAACTCTCTTAACTCAAAATGCGATAGTTTAACTGATTGTGTAATCAATATTGTCTGATTATACCTCCATAAGCTTTTGGATTATCGAAACACTTTGAACAATACGGTAAGGTTGACCCCAAAACCTAAGTTCCAATATAAGTACTAAGTTTGCTCCAACTATGTCTGAGTTGTAGCAGACATTATTGGATCGTTAGCCCTATTGACAATGTTTAGTGGTTCAATAAATTGCTATTGCCTTAACAAAACATGGTTAGTTACTTTAAACTAAGATCATATAAAGTGTCCAGTTGATAAAATTATTTATCTACTAGCTGACCCGGCGAACTTCGTACCGCCTTAGCGTAGAGATTTTCTTAATATTTTTTTCCGTAAGAACCATCCTTGGACTTCCACAAACATTTAAAAAAAAGAATTATCGAAATCGGTTCAACCGTTCACACGTGATGCCGTGACAACGCGAAACGGGTTTCATTTTTATATATTTTATATATATAGATGTTTTGATATGCCTTTGATATTCCCAATATTTTCGTGGTCATGTTTACTTGTAGCATTAAAATCGTTTACACAAATAACCGCTGTGAACTACAGACAGATTTGTACGTTAGACACCGTGTAGGTAGACCACTAATCTATACTTTTGATAACAACTAATTATTTATAAAAAATAAATACCCCGGCTCGAAGGACCAAAAATTGCAATATTTGGTGTAAATAGAAAACGATCAATAACAATCATCATTGGACTAATAACGATAGTATGTATTTCTATATAAAGTATAAAACAGGACATTGAAGGAATCCAGGCATTGTTCGTTATTAATTACAAAAACATTCACTCACGGGGTGCCTAAACGGCTTAGTAGTCTATGACCCAGCTCGTTTGTTTACACCGCCCGGGTATTGGCCCGGAACCGAACCCGCTACCGGCCGATAGCCTAACCTCAGCGTATGTGCAATGTTTACGAGCCTCACGCCAGCACAATTAAAACTCCTATTTTAATGGCAATAAAGATTAAATCGCCTGTTCACGGCTTCACACTCGAATTGGTTCATGTGAACCGTTGAGCGATGTTAATGCGGTGTTAATAGCACTTATGTTGGGCGCTGTAAAGTTCATTTTTTACAAATAAGGTGTTCACGTTGGTGGTACGCCCAAGTAAACACGGCCCTTGGTGGAGCCCTCGCTGCACTTTACACTTGTGTTTGTTATTCATAGAGTTATTAGTGGACGGTGTCACGGACTATGAATATGAGATTTACTCTTTCGAAACGCCATCGAGCTGGAGCATTTGTCTCCGATATCTGCTGTGAGACATATGCACGAATGATCACTCCAAACGGCAAGCTATTTTGACATTTAAAAAAGGAATTAATGAACAAAACCGTTGTTATAATAATACTTAATGGCAATTCCTAATTTTTGGTCACCTATTGGTCGTAATTATAATTCCTATTTTTGACTGAATCAGAGACAATTTACTTGGATGATATTTTTGACTATGTTTGTATTATGGGTATTTTTTATGTTTTTAGATTAGCTATATGATTTTTTTCTTTTCTGTTACAGGTTTAGACAACCGGATATCAAACTCCAGGAATTCCGTATCACCGTAAGTACAAGATAGACTGAAAAATAAATAATAAATACAACTATATCAATGTTCGGGACTTGTGTAGAAGCTTTAATTCTTTTCAGTTCGTGAAAAACTTTCTCACGAACGTCAAACTTCTTTCTGCTCTTGGAAATAAGTTTCATTTTATCAAAGTATGCTAAAATTGTGAACTAGAGTTTTACTGAACTGGTGTTCAACTCAAGCGAGTATCGTTGCATACAACTATGTAGTTAATGTTACTTCTAGTAACCACTTACGCACGTATTTACAAACGATCCTTGCTTAAGTGAAGCAACAAATCGAACGCAGAGCGTTTTATAGAGCTCTATGATTGGTTCGTGTGTCACTCTGTGCGTCCACGCGCACTGTGAGACCTCATAGTAATGTTTGTGAATACGGGCGTTAGTTGAGACCACTGCAGAGTAAGGTCCTGTCACTCACCAGTGGTGTCAACAGTTGAATATAAAAACAAAATCCCTCATTGATAGTTGAGGATATTCTATGTGATTTATCATTGCAGTGATGTGGTGAACAAGGACCTTGGGTTGTCAGAAAGCGATGATGAAGTCACAGCCACCACCACTACGTTAGCGCCGTAAGTATATTTTATGCTTAGAATTATATTAATCTTTTTAATCTTTAGCTTATTAATCTTTAGAATTATTTAATAATAAAATAGTATAATACTTGAACATTTTACACTGCGCCTCTAATCCCAAACTAAGCGAAGTTTGTTTTGAGACCCTGTGCAGTTATGCCTTGAATTCATATGTTTTTGATTAACCTATTTTCAAAACTACTTGTCACCGCTCTCTTATATTAATTAACTGCATCTATTTAATTAACTGTTTTAGAACTTGAAAGGAAAATTATTCTAGATAGATAATTATAATGCAAATATTCGAGGGAAAAGCTTCGTAACGTTAGACTGTAAATCCTACTAATCCTACTAATATTATAAATGCGAAAGTTTGTGTGGATGTCTGGATGTTTGTTACTCTTTCACGCAAAAACTGCTAAACGGATTTTGTTGAAACTTTACAGTATTATTGTTTATAACCCAGATTAACATATAGGCTATAATTTATGATGATCTGTGACCAATTAAATTTCACGCGGCTTCACCCGCGGGCAAAAGCTAGTTTTCAAATAAAAATATCATTAATATTTTGTAAATCCGCAGTCTCATTTCCCCAATGGTCTCCGCGAGTCCGAGCTCCGGTAGTTCCTCTCCCTCCGACTCCGAGAGCGAGTCTTCCTCAGCGGAGTCCACGGCTGCGCCCGCGCCGGCCGCGCCCGCCCCAGCGCCACCGCCCGCCCAGCGCTCGTCGTGGAGCCTGTCCAACTTTGCGCCGCCGCCCGCCCAGCCGCCCGACCAGGCCTACGAGTCGAAGGAGCTGAGGCATGCGCTCGCCGACGTCAAAGGAAAGCCGGTGAGTGATACAGTCAAGACAGCTCCTCCCTAGGACTCTAAGAATCCGCCGCCGCCCGCCCAGCGCTCGTCGTGGAGCCTGTCCAACCGCCCGACCAGGCCTACGAGTCGAAGGAGCTGAGGCATGCGCTTGCTGATGTCAAAGGAAAGCCGGTGAGTCATACAGTCAAGACAGCTCCTTCCCAAGACTCTAAGAAGTCCGCCCCACGCCGCCGCCCAGCCTCTGCCGCCGCCTGCCCAGCGCTCGTCGTGGAGCCTGTCCAACTTTGCGCCGCCGCCCGCCCAACCGCCCGACCAGGCCTACGAGTCGAAGGAGCTGAGGCATGCGCTCGCCAACGTCAAAGGGAAGCCGGTGAGTGATACAGTCAAGACAGCTCCTCCCTAGGACTCTTAAGAGTCCGTTCCTTGCCGCCGCCCGCCCAGCGCTCGTCGTGGAGCCTGTCCAACTTTGCGCCGCCGCCCGCCCAGCCGCCCGACCAGGCCTACGAGTCGAAGGAGCTGAGGCATGCGCTTGCCGACGTCAAAGGGAAGCCGGTGAGTGATACAGTCAAGACAGCTCCTCCCTAGGACTTTAAGAGTCCGCCCCTGCCGCCGCCCGCCCAGCCGCCCGACCAGGCCTACGAGTCGAAGGAGCTGAGGCATGCGCTTGCCGACGTCAAAGGGAAGCCGGTGAGTGATGCAGTCAAGACAGCTCCTCCCTAGGACTTTAAGAGTCCGCCCCTGCCGCCGCCCGCCCAGCCGCCCGACCAGGCCTACGAGTCGAAGGAGCTGAGGCATGCGCTCGCCGACGTCAAAGGGAAGCCGGTGAGTCATATGGTGTAACATTTTGTCATACTCATACAGCTCAAGGGGAAACTAATAAGTGATAGGAGTCAAAGTAACCAATATACCAGTGCCAAGTAAGTGCTTATTCATTCTGATGGACAGGACTCATTCTTCTACCAGCTACATTATTTAAGTCAGCACAGCCTCTCATGGTGCGTATAAACAATTTTTATACAACTTTTTGTATGGTATTGGTATGTGTCGCATTAGTGCTTAGCGCGGACGAACGTCGCGTTAGAATAAGTGAAGTGACGTGCTGTATTATTTTTGCTCAAGTGCGATTTGACCTTTACAAGGATAAGAACCTCACACTTCAAAGAATCAAAGGAAACCAATATTGTGATATTGAACTTCTGGAAGTTCCGCTTCTTGGAACGAATAAACAGCTGGAAATCCCCATAAACCCCTCCTCAAAAGCAAGTTCTGAATTACCATTAGTGCTAAAACACCACTCTTCTGGGAACTAGCGCGCCTTCCCGCAAAATACCCAGTCTACCCACGCCTTGTGTGACCTTGCGACGGCTGATATACATCTTTCGCTGAAGTCGCCTTGATTTGCTCGGCGTTCGAAGAAAGACGAGTTGATGACTCACGTATATACGGTTTCATTGCTGTTATTTACTGGAAGTGGTATATAATTACATTTTCTTTTGATGCGCAATTCAATAACTGTCTATTTATTATATTTACGATTGTGGCTAAAATATAATATTTCCATCAAAAGTACTTTATTTTAATTAGATTGTGAGTTTTGGAAATCATTATACGTTAATAATACACACAAACACGTGATGTCCGTACAACCCTTCCCCCCTCTTACCCAGCAAGTACTCCAATTAGTTAGTTCAGTTTTGAGTGCTACCTACGTGCTTTATTTCTGCATCAAGGAATGTTTTGTTACATTTTCCCCTTTTGCCGGAAAGATCTCGGAAAATTGACAAATACTAAGTAGCGGTACAATCAGACCAAAGAGTTCCACATAGAGAGTCAAGATAGCAACAAAATCTATCCCTCAAATGGCGATGATCATATTTAATCCATACCTAGAAGCCGTTGAGGTCATCACATTCCGTTTGAACACCGAATCCGAATAAATATCGAAACAACACGTGCACGCCATGAACTTATGACACCGCCTCAACATAACCCGGCGCGATAGAATATCACTTCGCATGGGATCCTCCCTTTCCCAGGTGTCGTGTTCCAAAAGGTAAACACTTCTCCGTACAAGGGAACCGAGTAAGCAAAAGTATGTAGCGATTATGCTACATTGTCTCGCCGTGACACTCGGACTATCACTAACAAACACTTATTTGTGTAATGAAGACGTTTCGTGCGATATTAAAATGGAAAAAATAATAGAGGCGCTGCACCGAATAATAAACAGACGGGAGGAGGATTTGAGACAGAAATGGATCAATTTGGCAATGCTAAAGTGCAACTTGAGGCAAGTGCTCGCGGACTTCGAAGCAAGTTTGGAGTGCCGCATGCAGGGCCGCGACAGGCGCGCGGTCATTGCACAGTTCCTCCTACTGAAGGATATCTTGTGGCAAGCCGTCGGCGCCGTGCACGGAAATCTCTCCGCTATGGCCATACCATTAGAGGTTAGATCTTCATTCCGCTCCTCCATTAAAAACCTTGTTAAACGCTAGCAATAACTTCGTTTTACGTGATAAAAATATCAAGCCACTAGATATTACGCTAATAAAATTTTACAGTGTTATCTGAGTAATGGCTTGTTCTAAGAAAGTACCAACTGGGTTGTCCAAGTTAAAGAAATAAAGTGCAATTTCGTAGCAACGTAATAAGGCGATAAAAATAAATTACGAGGAGAGGTTATCTCGGATCAAAAAACTTGGTCCGCGGAAACCATACTGTGCATAAAGTTCAACGCTAACTCGATAAGATTATGACGTCGCGTCATGTTTTTATATCTGTGATGCCGCGGGTTCTGTCGAGATTTTTGCCAACTTAAATCATCTTTTGATGTTTCTGTAACGTTGTAACGTAACTTTGGACTTGCGAGTTTGTTAATTTGTCGCGAGTGGTAGGTGAACTTATTATTATTTTACATAATACCTTGAAATACTGAATAACTAAATTAAGAAAACTAATTAGGATAGTAATTCTGTATGTGCAAACAATTTGTTAACATATTGCATACAAATTCGCGTTTACACACTTGCTAAAGCTTTCGAATGAAAGTACAATATGTGAAGCTTCAAACTTTCCTCCGGTAAATCTCTCTCGCACTTTAAATGAGAATCTTCATTTAAATGATGATTCTTACCAATTGATTGTGGAAATAATGCCTTAACAGTTTCACAGTCCATGTGCTACATACATATTTCTCTTAGAGCGAATACTGTAAGTGGGTGTGCGAGCATTACTGATAGTAAAAGAGTTTTCGCTACCATATTTTGAATTCTATTGATTACATAAGTTTCAATACCAAAAAAGAGCAATTTTTATGTACGCTGGCGGTTAAAAGGTTATTCAGGTGGCAGTCCACATATTTTGTCCGTTGTCGGCCCTGTATCTGACGCGTGTCACTTTACCAGGGTAACAGTTTGTATCCGTAACGATACAATTGCTACAAATACACGTTACGCCTGCTATTGGCTGTCCGCTAACATTGTTCTCAACGTGATCACTTCGAATGTAAAGTCTAGTTCATACTTTTATTTACTCGGCGAACTATCCAGAGATTTAAATTTCGCTTGAATCAGCATTGGAGAGTCCTATTGCATGGGAGAGTCTGCCCTACACTTCAAATAATTTAAAGAGTCTCTTAGCAAGGTAAACACTATTATGGATTAAACCAACCAAAAACTTGGAGTGGATGTGGAATATGGATTACTATTTAGTAATCCATATTACTTACGTAATTTTACTGTATAAACCAACTTTAAGCTCCAACCAATTTATTTCCATTTTAATTCATAATCCCGTTTCAATTGTCCAAAGCGTGTATTCCCAGCAGTGTCCAATATCTGACATAAGAACATGAAATCAACTGCTCCAGCATTTTTAACCTTATGTCTTTCTCAACAGAGTCCAATATCGGAGTTGTCGGACTCGGAGGCGTCGTCGCCATCGCCCGGTCCCACGCGCCGGCGCCGCTCGCTGGCCCACCGCGCGTCGGCGGCGTCTAGCGACGATGAAGCGCCTAGGCACAGTCAGGTAAGCACTGTTTTAAGTTCAAATTGTTTATATCTTTATAGGCAAAGACTACAGAAAACATGATAAAACAAATTTTTGTCAAAACATTTTTTTTTTATGCATAACAAGGCAGGTATTTGACCACAATCGCACCTGATGTTATTTTCATCATCATCTTGCCATTTTGACTGCAGGAGCACTAGCCTCTTTTTTATGACGAGGCTTCTATAACAATATAATATGTAGCTTGCTCACCATCACTGCAGGACCACATATCGATATTGGTGCTAAGAAGTGACTGAATTATATCAGTTACGTAGTTATCTATCATTTGTTTTGCACTAGGGATGTCGATCCTTAACACGTTGGATCCTTGCAAGGCTTACCACTAAGCCTCGAACATTTTCTATTGTAATCCAGTTTCTCAGCACTCATAAATTTCAAAAGTCACACTTACTCGTATCGTATTTGCTAATTATACGTACGAGTAATAGTTACTGGTGTCTTCCTCATAGCGTTTATACACCTCACTATTGAGGCCATAACAATAATTTGATCCTCATTTTTCCAGGCCACCGCCTCGCCGCCAATCCAGCCGCAGAAGCGCGGCCGCCCGCCCAAGCCGCGGCCCTCAGAAGACCAGCCGGCTAAGAAGAAGCGCGGCCGCCCGCCCAAGCACCGGCCCGCGTCGCCGCCGCCCGCCCCGCCAGACAGCGATCCAGAACCCGATCCACCGCCGCACAACCCATTGCAAGACACAAAGACGCATATCTTCCGCAAGGTCTGTTAAAATACAATATTTCACTTTAACACACAGGATTAGAAAAATTTAGAAAGAAACATTTATTGCAACAGGACATCACAGAGCTATGAGAAATATCACATTGTATTTTATTGTTAAAAAGCGTTTTAAGAAAGTGCCGCACACTAGCAATATACGTTTGTTGGCATTTTACATGCATCGGACATCAACGAGGCTTCAAGCAAGGATGCTATTAATACGCATATCATAAGTGAAACAGAAGCGAATCCGCCCGCCCAAACGTGTAGTCGATATTTTTAAGTCGTAATTTAGATCTTCATACAATTTTTATACAGGAACCCTTTATGCAAGACGAAATTTATCGAAAGTTCAAAGATCAATCTTTACAAAAACAAAATAATCGCACAATTTTATTATGTTTGTAATTGTCTAGCATTCCTTTCATCCTTAGGTCTTCACGCCGAAAAAGGGCGACGAATGCGGCGGGAAGGGCGGTAAAGGGGGCAAGGGGAAGGGTGGTAAAGGCAAGGGCCAGGTCACCATAATCGAGGTGACCGCGCCCGAGTCAGGCGCTGACGATGACGACCGCGACCGCGACCGCGACCGCAGCGCCGAGAGACGCCACCAGGAGGCCATAGCGCGCGTGTCGCCGCCGCGCGAGCCTGATACGCTCACCAGGTTAGTGCAATGTGCAAATGCCTTATCGTAATGAAATGTCATTTCAGAGCTAATATAAATATGTAATTATAAACATTGATTCGTCGTAAGAGGCGACTTAGGGACTACACATCAAACAGAGAACGGGCAGCAGCGCTCTCTGAAAAACATCAATCTTTTAAACTGCGATCTCCAACCCGCCTGCCAAGCGTAGGGATTATGGCAAATCCTTCCACTATAGTGGAGGAGGCTCATAGTCCAGCAGTGGACTGTAAAGGGCTGTTGATGAAACATTGATTAAATGATTTGCATGCTATTTTTAAGTCTAAGCAAGAGCACAGTAAAAAACTAACATCCTTATACCATGTTTGAAGCAAATAAAGATATTCTTATTCTTATAATGTGTTCCAAAATAGCACGTATTATAAGGTGCTACGTTATTACTTTGATCTGTCGTCGCTCATCGTCTGTATTAATAGACAGGCAGTGCTGAACTAAAGTTGAGTCCTCACTAAGTTAAAGACACTTATTGATTAATCTTTCAATTGATTGCCTGTGTCGAAGTGTTTGGTAGCAATTCTGTATATTAAAACGATATTTTTCTCTAATTAAGGCGGCGTGAAGCCGAGCGAATCGCCAATGAGAGAATACAAGAACGCATCTCCATCGAGAGGACGGACCACAGACGCTCCGCCGACCGGCTGCAGGCCGAGCGGCCGCCCAGCGACCGGGTCCCGCTCGACCGGACGCCCAACGACCGGATACAGGTCGACCGGACGCCCACCGACCGGTTACAGGTCGAGCGGACGCCGAACGACCGGTTACAAGTCGAGCGGACGCCAACAGACCGGTTACAAGTCGATAGGACACCGACCGAGCGCTTCCAAGTCGACCGGTTGCAGGTTGACCGGACGCCGACGGAACGGTTACAAATGGACCGGACGCCCTCGGAGCGGATACCGGTGGACCGGACGCCGAGTGATCGGACGCCCAATGACCGGCCGACGGAGAGGACGAGGCCTGCCGACCGTATTCCGAGCCGGTTATCGGGCAGCATACCTGAAAGGCCGGAACGGGTTTCCGGCGAAAAGGTAATTAATATTTTCATAACTGATGCTGTAAAACTGTATACGAGTAGATAGATACTTTTTATTACACAGCGGGTGAAGCTCGCTTCCACCTTCGGCTTGATCATCACTTACCATCAGGTGAGATACAGGCCAAAAGCTTCCTCGTTGTGGATCAAAAAAATAAAGAAATACAAGACGGTCGCTATTATGATTTTTGGGTTACTTGGTTGATCAAAACTATGTACTATTGTCGTATTCATGTGTAATAACAAATTACTAATAATCTTTAAAAAAAAATGTTGGTTTAATTGAGGAACATACTTTCTATCTAGAAGATAAATAAGTCTAGTTACACTTTTTTGTCGAATTACTGAGTATCTCTACAATATTTCTCTAAGCTTATGTATTTTATATTTGATCCAGCGCCTCACTAAACGTCCCATGAGCCAATTTAATCTGTATTTGTTTGTATTCAGGTGTCGTACGAGAAAATGTCGTCTCACGATCGTCTGTCGAGTGACAAGATCGATCGCAAGTCGTCCCACGAGAGAAGCGAGAAGATGTCTCGGCTCTCCGACGACAAGATGTCCATCGAGCGTCTGCACGAGGAGAAAATTGAGAGGTAGAATAGAATAGTTTTTATTTGAAAGAAAGACATACAAGCAGGAAAGACAGGTACATAATGAAAGAGATACACAAATGGACAGATAGCTGCTTGTGCCCCTCTGACAAAAAGGCACCCGCTCAGCATACATCAAGACCGCGCCAGGGCTTGTCTCGAAACCGATTTTTTTAGTTCACTGATTTTTTTAATTCACCAGGTAAAGGTATGACCTTTACCTGGCGATGGCAGAATTCATCATCATCATTCATTTTTACAATAATTAGATTCAAATTGAACTTGTCAAAATTTTTGTGCTATAATATTCTAGTGACTTCCAACCTCTCGTTCCCACCACTGCAACTCCTGTTTAGCCAGGATCTACAGCTTGACCGCCAATAAAAACCTAACCAATGAAGGTCAAGTTTGTCCCGGGGGAAAGTTAAACTGTAAACCCGCAACGAAATTAATCAGAACTCCTTCTTCCTTCGAAGTTAAATATGAGGGGTTCGAAATTATGCTATGAGAGACGAATTATTAGTGATCTTTGTAAAAACCTGTTTGCTTAAGTAACCAAAACTGGCTGTACATACATTCTATATTTTGATAGCTATATTTGAATATGACCTTTGTACTGTTTATTTATATCTGTCACTTCTCTCTCTCTAAAAATACACGGTCTATCTCTCATTACTCTCTTCCTTTTCTTTAAATCTTAATTCTATCAGCACTCTGCACTTCTACTAGTGTTTCTAGTTCCTAGAGTTCCTAGAATCTTAAAATATAAATAATGTATTTCGTCATCGCCAGGTTATCCCACGACGTGAAAATGGAGCGGGAGTCGAAGCTGGAGCGCGTGGCTGGCGACAAGGCGGAGCGCTTCGTGCGCGCCGAGGCCGACGTCGGCGTCGTCAAGCCCGGCCGCGGCTCCGAGCGGCTGGATGACGCGCCCAACCGTGAGTACACAGCCTTATTTCTCTCTGTTTCTTTGTTTTTATCTAGCTGAGAGGTGCTGGAGAGGCTCCAAGCGGCTCGATGACGTTCCCAGCTGGCTTAATTTTTCGTGATTTTCTTTTTTTTTTCTTCTTTTTATCTCTACGGGAAGCTATAGTCTGGTCCGGGAGCATGTAGAATTTTGTCCAATGACCCCAAGCTACCCATCCTTATCGCTCACGCGTAATTATGTTGCTGTCGTGCTCGCACACTCACTGCGGGCGCCCGTCGCACAGTCGCGCATTCTACATTCTACGTGCTCCCGGACCAGACTATAGATAGGTTTTAAACGTCTGGATGACGCTTAGCCGTGAGCACCAGGCTTTATTATTATGTCTTTTGGGGACATTCTAAGGCGTCTATCTGGCGGCGTGAATCTGAAACATCGCGTGAGCGCTTAGCTTTATTCCGTTTCTTTTGTTTTTTCTTTACTCTCCGACCCATGAGTCGCTTTTGTTTTATATTATGGATTTGAGCGGATAACGTGAAACTGAAACGATTTTATGGTGACATGAAGCTGGAACGACTGTTTCGAGCACCCAACTGTGAGCACCTTTATCGTTTATTTTCGTCATTTTAGCCAAAGGACGTCCACTGCTGAACAATGGTCTCGGGACAAGATTTCCACAATTGAACAAAAGGTGCTTCACACGGCCTTCACTATAGTGAAGACCGTGCGATATATCGCCCAGTAAAATTCCTGTCCACATTGCTTTAGTCTACATAAACTAATGTATCATGAAATAATAAAAAAGATATGTTAAGAAGTCCCAATAGACATGTTGACACCACCAGTCAATTGACGTACTTTTTAAAACTGTCAAAACGAAACTCTCCCATAGATTTTGTATGGCACTACAAGCAAGTGACGTCACTATTTTGTCAACTCAATCAAACTACTTTTTACAATTACAATGCGACCAAAAATCGTAAATTACAGTTAATTTAAAATTAATTAAGTTTTTAAGACCAGAATGAAGGGTCTTTTTAAAAAAGTTGTGGTTTCGAATTATTGGGGTATGGTGTCAAACTGTCTATTGTAACGAAGTTGTTTTGTCCACAGCGCGTGCGCGGCTCCTCGTGCGCGTGCCGCTAAGCCGCCTGCGCGCGGACACATTGCGCGCGCTGCAACGCGCTCCGCCGCGCCGCGCCGCGCCCAAACGTTTGCCGACGCCGCACCAGGAACAGGTCAGTTTCTATACTTAACCGTTTAGCTTCCAGGACGGCTGCTGTGTTAAATAGGTTAACCCTTCTATTTTGGGGACGCCAGCTGCACATACATGTAGACTTTTCAGTTATGGAGCCTCACAATTTTATAGGCCCTTATTATTTAACCACAAAAAATACTTTTTGTAAAGGTTCACCGTGCTAAGTAAGGTAGCAGTTGCGATGGCATACCTAATTGCTCTAGAAATGAAATATCTTGATTTTTGTCTGCACTCCAATTCATAGATTATGTCCTCTGCGGGTCTATGGACATGTATCTGTGTTATATTTTACTTATTTATTTGTAATCTTGGGTTAAAACACCTAGACGAATAGTCTTCATACAAGTGAAGTGGCAAAAACCATGAGTATCATCTAATGTCACCTTACATATAGATGACTCACGCTGAACTGTCCCACCAAACTCAATGACAGGGGGGCGTTACCATCGTTCAACTATATGGTTTCCAACATGGCAAAAATCGGAACCAGCGATCCGGTATAGACGGTGGCGCCCGCTTTCAATGTCATGGATAGGACAGTTCAGTATATTGGAACCATACATTTTCACTAGTATTTCTCTTTGTCGACTGTCAGAACGTATGGGACAAAACTTAAACCAGCGGTCTACTTTGAAGAGCTTCACTTTTCTTGCGCTTATCGGTTTCTAAAACTCGGAAACTCGAAATTAAGGTACATGGTAGCAATCCCGTCAACAATAAATTATGTTAGTGACCATGAAAGTTTAAAACTAGACATTATCGTTATATGTTTGTAATAATAGGGAGGAGCAGTGGCCGCGACGAACCACGAGCGGTCGGGCGCGTGCGGGCAGACGCCCATCTACTACTCCTACTTCGAGCGCCAGCCCGCCGACGCGCTCAGCGACGAGGAGCGGGACCACAAGTCAGTACCACACCATTATTATTGTTTTTCTTATCACTAAGTAACATATTTTTCTTTCTGAATAACGTCAGGGATATATCGTACACGTGTTATGCCATTTTCTTTGCCAAAATCTATTACGTAACGGCAAGACGAAAATTACTAAAACAAATGCTAATGTTGCTACTTCAGCGCTATAACACTTTTCCTTCCTTAAAGAAGTCCTTAGGACTCCACTCACTCTGAGTGAATGAGGTAACAACGAATATTTACGTTCTAAATATTTTTCGACTTTGAATTGACTTTAATATCTCGGCCCTAGATAATCTAGTCTAAATCTAGGAATCCTACAAATTGATTTACAAAGCCAATCCTACCGTAGAATTGACTTTGTAAATAATTTCTTTAAAGTCTTTGGTAGCCTGTGTAGGTGCATTTTACTGTAACTAATGGGCGTGGCCTATGAAGGTACAACCTACCACTCTACATATCAGTTGTGTATCACCATTTTAACCATAGACCGTATCCTGCACAGGTATTACGTACCTTTTTAAATATCAGTGCTATAAATAACGTCCTTTATCCTGTACGTATACGTGCTTTTCAGGTATCAGTGCTATAAATAACGCTGGTATGGCCTAAAAGATAAGGAGACATGTAAAGTGCCCCATAAGGGCTACCTTTTATTTTTTATTTTTTACTACATTTTGACGTTCATAAGTGCCACTTGTGGTCTAAACTGAATAAATATTTTTGATTTTGAATATTAAATAACGTCCTTTCTCCCATACAGGTACTACCTAGAAGAAGCGACGCGCCTCCGCACGGCGGCCGAGCGCGAGCAAGGCCCACTAGCCCGCGTCATGCTGTACCTAGAAAGTGTACTATGTTTCGTGCTCACGGGCCGCGTGTTAGAGCTCGAGCTCGATACCAAGGGCGCGTTCACGGTGTACCGCGAGACCATCGAGTACATCAAGTCCATTCACTCCATGCCACAGCGCTTTAGAGCCTCGCCGCACTCTACGTTTAGCAAGCTGGATATACTCAGGTAGGTGTTCCATTGGCGTATCGAGGGCTATTTTTCAAGGTGCCTCTGAAATCTTGACATGCCGATGGATAAGTGGGGATAGAAGTCTACCTCGTTTTGAAAGTGCATAAAAATTACGTCATTAATTTGTAGTATCAAACCCTTTATTTAGAAATGGGCGTTAATAAATTTAACATGATACCACCCTCGACTAAAGCAGTGTTAAAAGTAACTGTGTTTTAGTTTCAAATAAAGATTTTAACGTTAATCTTTGTCATGATGAAAATAATAGCATGTAAGTAAATGTATGTTGTTGTTACAGCCTGCGAGTGCAAGCACTTCTATACCTGCGGATGTTCAAAATGTACAACCGCGAAGTCAAGGAATACAACAAGATTGTCACCGAATACCAACAAAAGGTATGTACTTATTTAGTCTAATTTATTATTCAATAAATTTAATGTTCGATTTTATAAATCATTAATAAACTCATGTTTCAAATCAATACTTGAAAGTGCTTTAACATGTCTCAATATAACTGCTTCTTGACAGGTTCAATTGATAATTAAATTACCACTACTTTTAACTTTTTGAGTGAGATTGATTATGAGTGTGGTCAAAAAATCTAAAAGAGCCAATTTATGTGATAAATTTTAATAGCAATACCATTGTGTATAACAACAGTAAACAAAAGCTGACATCGTCAACCAACTAAATAATCAAGAATCTAAATTAATGTTCAATTTTGCGACAAAAAATTACAGTCTGATGTGTTGTTAAGGCCAAATCCTCCATTTGCTGGTAAATTAGGGTCTTACTCCTGTATTGGAGAGTAAATTACCTATGTTATGACTTTACCATTGCAAGAATACTGTACAAATAGCTGACTCCAAACGTTTAATTTCAGCCCGCAAGCGCGGAATCAGTCTCATCGGTATCGCCGCTGTCCCCGTCGCCTTCTCCCGCCGGCTCGCTCGGGTCGGTAGGCTCGGTTGGCTCGGTCGGGTCGGTAGGCTCGGCCGGGTCGGTCGGCTCAGGCGCGTCATCAGGCTACTGTTCGTTGGCCCACAGCGTGCCGGCAGCGGCGCATAATGCCCTGTTGCAACTGACGAAGTATTACACGTTTTTGTACGTGGCTTTGGAGCTGTGGGAGCAAGCGGATTGCTTATGCCGTCTGAGGCCTAATCGAGGTTAGTATACGTTTAGTTTTGGAGATATATTGTGTATTGTATTTTGTGTAAATATTTCAGTTCGATTTGTAGTAATTCATTTAGCAATAATCTTTATAAATAAAAATGAATTGATGTTCGTTAGTCTGATTAAAACTCGAGAACGGCTGGGACGATTGAGCTGATTTTGGTTTTAAAATGTTTTTCGTAGTCCAGGTTAGGTCTAAAAGGTGAGCAAATACGCGCGATATTGTTTTTCTGTGACAGACAAAATTCCACGCGGGCGAAGCCGCGGGCGGAAAGCTAGTTCATAATAATTATGTCGATTGTTGATCGAGTATATGAAATGAATAAAAAAACTGGGTCAATGAAATGCAAAATTAATGTATCTGGTCAAGAGTTCTACTACTTTGAAGATAATACCTGGTTACGCATGACGTAGCCTAATATCACGCGTTTTTGTTAATCATTCAGCTTTTCAGCAGTTTAATTTTTTAGAAAAATACAGCAGCATATCTACATCTCTCCCATCCATACGAAATATCAAGTTCGAAAGTTCATATTCTAGAAAATCTGTTAATAAGTTCTAACAAATAATCGTTTCCATTTCAGATCTGTTCATAGCGGTGGACCGCAAGTGCGGGCCCCTCTCGCTGTCATCCACGTTCCGGCACCTGGTCCAGTACGTGCGTCACGCGATATCTCTGCTCAAGAGTTGCCCGCGGGAGTGACCGCGCCCGCTCGAACATACGCACGTGAGAATAGCGGCCGTACTATACCCTGTCACAGTTCCAAAATATCACGTGACAAGTAACAGGTTAAAATATCGAGTGACCGGTCACGTGATACCCGTACTGGCGGTTTTGTTTTGACTTCGACGCGAGATTATTTGAAACAAAATCACAGTATCAGAAATAAGGAACGGTCGCTGATATTTGACGGCGGTGCCGCGAGACCATGGATCTACTTTGAAGCCAGTTTTTGGCATAATTAATACTTCTTGACATTAATTACGATGGTGATAGATAGTTAGTAATGTTGAATGAAATGTTCTGTGCATTTAAAAATTTAAATCGGTTTTACTAACAATATCTCACAATATTGTTTCCAATTCTCTATCATTATTATATTAAATACTTATAATTTATTTCATTAATTTAATATTACCGAAATGAAAAGATATTCTTTTTTTGTATGGAAATATGAATCACCGTACATCTTGATTAATAAAATAGTTTAAGCAATACATTACCTGGTTGCCACAAACATTCGACTGGCGATTTTTAAAATCAATTGGATTGTATGGGAGAGTAATTTACGTCTTTTACATTATATTTGTGATATACATTCATGCTAGAATAGTTATTAGAAGTAGTATTTTGTCGATGTGTTTGAAACGATAAGTTGTCTTGTGGTTGTGACGTCATAACTTTTGGGACGTAAGTTCTTAGTGGATCTTTTGAATCTTTGAAGCCGAATATCGAAACATATACATATTCCTTTGAGAAATACTTATATTTTTGACGTTTAATATTTAGCGTAGCTGTGATATATTTTGTATTTTATACTATTGCGGCTATTTTGCGATATTTACGCGATTAATATTATGTGTGTTTATTTCGGTATATCGGTGACAGTGTTACGCTAGCTTGACTATGACGTCACACGTTCGCCTTACGGGGATAGCATTATTATTTTAAAACTATTTGGGGGTATACAAAGGTGATTATAGGGCCAATCGAATTGCTGTGGCGCCTTTTTCTTGCAATACTGCTTCTTAGTAAAATTAAAGCACAAGACTGGAGGTGTAATTCATATTTCCATACAAAAATATTATGAAACGGTCTCGATAGTTTGCCAACATCTAATCAGAATCCAAAAGATTGAAACTTGCAGAAAACTATTTTGTGTATATTCATTAATATGTATATTTTTCTACATTTCATTATTAAACATTTTGAAGAATACGTATTTTAAATATGTTTCTTTACACTTTCAGTATGTGTTGACACCATCTCGTTTTTTGTTCTCTGGTCAGATTTTGGCAAATGCGTGACAAATATGGTAGGAATTCAACAGAAACATCAATATACAAGAACTTCGAAAACAAATAAGCAATAGTATTCTTAATTTTACAGTTTAATAAATATTAATTTGGAATCTTAAGATAATATTTGAAGAAGGTACTTAGTTTTATAAATATTACGAGAAAAATAAGTGATAATTAATGTTAATAAGAACGCGATACCATCGGATGTAATTCCAGCGAATGATGTGAAAAGTTTAACGATCTACAAATTATGCACGTCAAAATTACTATAAAGAGTTTTTATTAAACATCAATCGTTCGTATAATTGTAGATCTCTTTTTATATCAAACCCATAGGCATCAACAGATTCCACCGTCACGTTAGTTACCCAACGTTAAGAGTAGCTCGACCAGTTGCGACTAGTCGCACGACCTGATTGACCTTTATGAGGAAACGTGGAGTCAATATCATCCACATACGTGAGCACTCGAGGTGAAGCGTATGCGACTTACGACAGCAGCAGGTCTACTCCGAAACGCTGTTTACCTAGTTTCGGATCTATCTGTCACTGTCGCTCATGCTGGGTGTCGGCTTTGCGTTAGAGGGATGGCAATATTCGAAACTCCGGGTAACGTTTTTCGGAGTAACCCTGTAGCCAACCTCGAGCGGGCCAGCTGTGCGCTCACAGGACCCGAAAACAAGTCCTCGTGCTTCGTTCTCTTCCCAAAATGAGACCAAAAAACTGTATAAATTGTATGAAAGTGTGTAAATAGCGCTTCGTTGCCTAGCAACGGGTACGCATCGGGCCCCGCGCTCGACTCTACTCGTAAGTTATAGACTTATCATATCTTAAGTGTTTTTCGTTGTAGTTCTCTTCCGTATCATTGAAAGTTCTACTGTCGGGAACACATAATACGAATTGCTCGTTTCTTAGTGTAATGGGAGCTATACGACAAAACTGTTGTACGCATGTGGGCCAATCGAGTATATTATTAATATCTCACTATGTATGGGATCACTTGTAGTTCTTCGCAATAATTTTCTGAATTTTTCGCGTATACTTTCGCTTTATTGAATTCTTGCGAGTGTGAAATTAGTATGTGAGGTTTAATTCGTACTTTTAGCTGTAATTTAGTTCGGTTCGCTATGGACACCAACGCTTACAATATCAGTTCCGAAGGATTCCGTGCATTATATGAACAATTCATGTTCCTACGTAGTCTACGGTTAGAAGCAGAACAATGATTGAGCAAAACGTGTTATGAAGAACATTTTTTATTATACATATCAAATGATTTCGGTGACAAATCAGATAGATGTTTCGCGACGAATAATACGTTATTATTATTTCGTAAGCTTCGTAAGAGATTAAAGGTGAACCGGTCGGGTCGATCCCGATCCTGATTTACTCGTATGACATATTTTGGAGTGACAATAATACTCTGTTAGGAGAGCTAGATTCGTTTACGTATAATTTCCAAAATCTCCGTACCAAATGCGGGAAGTATCAATCGACATTAATCGTATCGTAATCGAATAAATAATCGCAAATTAGAACAAATTGACATGCGTCATTTGATTAATTAATTAATTGAATTTAAAATAAATAATAAAGTGCAAATATTTTTTAAATTAATAATACATTTAAAGAGTACAATTATAACGCTGACATCAACAAATGTTCTAAAGTGACTCGGACAAATGCCGTAACACCAATAACATTATACATATAAAATATATATATTTCTCTCGGTTGTTTATCAAATTTATGTTGTGATTGTATATACATAATATTATTATATTATACATTTTGTAATGAATATACATATTAGTGCCAGATAGGTTTTTGTATGGACGTTTATATGAGACGCGACGGAGCTCCACGAAGGACGAATACAAACTGTACGTTACTAGTAAAGAGGAGTGACTTGATGCCTTGTACATAGTAAATTGTAAGAAATGTGTAGTTTTCACTCTATATTTTAATTTATATTGTAAACTGTATTTATAAGTAATCGGATATAGATAGCAACATAATAATGTTTGGTTAGGGAGTTAGGGGAGTGTATGGGCCGTGCCTGAGCCCGGCGTGGCGCGGGCGGCACTGTTAAGACAATTACTTTACGTGATTCTGTACATGTTGTTAGAGAGCTTGCAGCGTTCGAGTAGTGTAGGGCGTTACCAGCGCTGGACCAGCGCAGACTTACTCTACTTAAATTATTACCCTTTAGTTTTATTATTAAAACGAGTTCTTACATGCTTATGTCACGAAATTGGTACTTACGATCCGCACAAATATTATTTTAATTTTTTTTAGTTCGTTATTTATTTATTGTAAACAACATGTAGCTGATTTTTTGTTGTAAACAAAGCGAAGTTTACTTAAACCGATTTATTTTAAAATGTCAATATGGTATAGTAAAACAGGTGCCTTTAGAACTGGGTTCCCACGACATTAATTCACTTGATTGGTAAAAAGTTTTTGGTCGTTATCAAAAATATCAATAGAAAATGTTCAAAAATATCTTTACACATGAGTTGAACTATGTGATTTGTAAGGTATTAATATTATGTTAGCATGTTTGAGAACTTTTACTGTGATATATTTTTGATATCGACTGGACAATCACAGCTTATCGTTGTCGTGTGAGCCCGATCTTATTATTTTGTTCATCGCATTTTATTTTCTTTTTTTATTATTGTTGTAACAAATATCATTTGTATTGTTTTTATTTCTCTTATCACAAAGCATCTCGATCGAAACTCGCGTATTTGTACTTGATTTTGTTATTGTTTTAGTTCTAAATTTCACGTTATTAGTGATGTAATTACATTTCTTTTTTGTTTTGTTGCTTCTTTATTTTTAAGCCATTAGAAATTCTCGCTTTTGATTAGAAACAAATTTAAATTTTAATATAGCAATAATTCATTGCTTAGAAATTTCATTTGGAATGTTGAAATGCATTTGCAAGAATGCAAGTATGATGAATTATTTTCATGTGCCCTTTCCTTAGCGCACACATATGCCATGAATAAAAATGAAAAGTCGATTTCAAAATAATTTAAGAATATCCTAAACCGAAGCCAAAATCTACTGACATTTTTAAAATATAATTAATAGATCGATGAACAAGAAGCGCTGGTTGAAAGCGTTAGATGATTATTTAGGAAATTGTAAAAACTGTTTTCTTTTTATATTAGCATCTTGTGTTGATAGCATGTATAATTTGTTTTTTTATTCGCGTTAAGAATTATGTATAAATTTGTTTTCCTCTAATTTTATTATTTGTGTAACTATACCTTATGTTATTAAAGATAAACAATACATTAATTTTTATGTACGAATTATTTTTGTTTTGTTTCTTTTCCTTTATTATTTTCCTTTTATTTTGAGCACGGATAGTAACTGGAGGCTAGAATAGTCAATTTCGTGATTTTATATTGATATTTGAATGTCGTGAAAACAGTATTTACATCGTCGCCTTTTTATCTCGTACCGCTTAAGATATTAGTAGTAATGTAATTCAATTTGCCTTAGTCAATTTTGCTACCATAGAAATAACTGCCAGTTTTTTGGGTGGTGTGTGCAGAACTTATCAAACTGATTGATAAAAGTATCAAATTGAATTGAATCAATCTTGTAACGTTTCGTATAAGTTAACTACTATAGCGGGCACCACCCAAATAATTCCTAAGCAAAACGTACCGATCCATCAAAGGCCGCTATCGCACAAAAGCGCCTACCTTAGAGCCTGGTGTCTGGGTGCCATGTTTCTGAACTTAGAATGATTGATCTTGTCGGTAATTTTCCACTTTCTATGCCACTTCAAAAAACGTTAAATTACTAAAGCCAAAGTATACTCGATACTACTGGACACTAATCGCATGTCACATAAAGTTACTAAAGCATTGAGGAAGCAAAATAATGCGACAACAAATGAAACATTTACAGAATTTTGTGTGTAAAGGATGTTATTGCTTAATTAATACTGTTAAAATGGCTATGACCAATGCACATTGATTGTTTGCATGATGCTAAGTAAAGCAGATTGTTCTACAAAGGGATGACAATGACATGATGACCCATAAAAAAAATAACAGTGAATTCAGGTATATATTCATTAGTAAATTAAGGTGATGTGTGTGGTCTACGTCCTAGTAAACACACAGTTTAAACA